GTTGGATGCCTACTACTACTACTACTACTACTACTACTACTACTACTACTAATACGTGTGTATTCCATTAAGGATGTATTCTATGACGGGTGCATTCCACAAAGAACATATACATTACCAGAGTCACCTTCGTTATCTGTACTCGTTAACAGTGGCCCCGCCTCTGGCGCCTGGCGTCCTCTTGCTTCACTGTTCTTCAGACCTTTAACTAACAGCATCTAGAACTAGACACGCCAGATTTATTTCCGTAAAGCCTGATTTTGGGGATAATTCGGGTCGGGTCGGCCGAAGCTTAGACGAACAACGCTTGAGGCCACGTTGTTCCAGATGGATATTCAGCTACACTTGTCAAGTGTCTCGTTGTGCTCCATATAACAATATCCCTTAAATTTGTGGACTCACTTTCATTACCGTTGCTGTTTATACTGAAATAATATGATTCGCGTTAATGAATTCCTGTAAACATGTATCAAACACTGACTCGCATTAGTGAGCGAACAAAACATGTCAACATTTACATTCCAGTGATGAACTACAACACGGAAACAATGCTTTTTGGTAAATGTGAAAAGTTAGAGTATGAAAATGAGTGAGCGACCAAGGCAAGGCAATTATCAGGAGAAAGCGCTAAGCCATTACGACTATATAGCACATGGAAGGGATCAGGATAAGGATTTGGGATGGGACGGAGGGAAGGAATAGTGCCCAAACACTTGGACGGGTCGGGGATTGAACGCCGACTTGCATGAAGCGAGACCTTCAGAAGTGACTCAAAGACTTGAACGGATCGGTACAGCGACGGACTCCCTTCTTGCAGGTCGGCGTTCAATTCCCGACCTCCCAAGTGGACGGGGCACTAGTCCTTTCTCTCGTTTTATCCTAAATCCTTATTCTGAAATTCGTTCCAAGTGCTTTGTAATTGCTTAGTGCTATATCCCGGCCTCGTTACCTTCCGGAGTTTGGTTCTGATGTCGACTATGACGTCTCCTGAGAGCTGTGACCGAGTGGCTGCTTGTAGTGACGTCTCCTGGGGGATCGTCCGTATAGCTGCTTGTAGTAACGTCTCCTGGGGGACATCGTCCGTATAGCTGCTTGTAGTAACGTCTCCTGGGGCATCGTCCGTATAGCTGCTTGTAGTGACGTCTCCTGGGGCATCGTCCGTACAGCTGCTTGTAGTGACGTCTCCTGGGGCATCGTCCGTATAGCTGCTTGTAGTAACGTCTCCTGGGGCATCGTCCGTATAGCTGCTTGTAGTGACGTCTCCTGGGGCATCGTCCGTACAGCTGCTTGTAGTGACGTCTCCTGGGGCATCGTCCGTGTGGCGGCGCCGTCCGTGGCAGTTTCTCAGCACCAGAAGCCTTGATACCGACAAGAGATTACCAAGAACTGATGATTGGCAATTTCCGCGACAGTGGCGCAGCCCGAAGCCTCGCTCGGATCACGGTTGAGACATCGAAGTGTGTGTGTGTGTGTGTGTGTGTGTGTGTGTGTGTGTGTGTGTGTGTGTGTGTGTGTGTGTGTGTGTACTCACCTAGTTGTACTTACCTAGTTGTGTTTGCGGGGGTTGAGCTCTGGCTCTTTGGTCCCGCCTCTCAACCGTCAATCAACAGGTGTACAGATTCCTGAGCCTATCGGGCTCTGTCATATCTACATATCACCTGTGTCCCCTTGTGCGTGTTCCCCTTGTGTTAAATAGACTGTCTTTATCTACCCTATCAATTCCCTTCAGAATCTTGAATGTGGTGATCATGTCCCCCCTAATTCTTCTGTCTTCCAGCGAAGTGAGGTTTAATTCCCGTAGTCTCTCCTCGTAGCTCATACCTCTCAGCTCGGGTACTAGTCTGGTGGCAAACCTTTGAACCTTTTCCAGTTTAGTCTTATCCTTGACTAGATATGGACTCCATGCTGGGGCTGCATACTCCAGGATTGCATACTCCACCTGTGTGTGTGTGTGTGTGTGTGTGTGTGTGTGTGTGTGTGTGTGTGTGTGTGTGTGTGTGTGTGTGTGTGTGTGTACTCACCTAGTTGTATTCACCTAGTTGTGTTTGCGGGGGTTGAGCTCTGGCTCTTTGGTCCCGCCTCTCAACCGTCAATCAACAGGTGTACAGATTCCTGAGCCTATTGGGCTCTATCATATCTACACTTGAAGCTGTGTATGGAGTCAGCCTCCACCACATCACTTCCTAATGCATTCCATTTGTCAACCACTCTGACACTAAAAAAGCTCTTTCTAATATCTCTGGCTCATTTGGGCACTCAGTTTCCACCTGTTTTCCCTTGTGCGTGTGCCCCTTGTGTTAAATAGCCTGTTTTTATCTACCCTATCAATTCCCTTCAGAATCTTGAATGTGGTGATCATGTCTCCCTTAACTCTTCTGTCTTCCAGCGACAGAAGACTTCTGTGTGTGTGTGTGTGTGTGTGTGTGTGTGTGTGTGTGTGTGTGTGTGTGTGTGTGTGTGTGTGTGTGTGTGTGTGTGTGTGTGTGTGTTTGTGTGTGTGTGCATATGTGTGTATGTGTGTGTATGTGTGTGAGTGTATCTCCGCCACTATTCGTTTAAAAGCGTTAATCTTGTAACGCTTAATACAATATATTATTTCAATCCAGGCTGTTCCTTCTTGCCATTAACTAGCAAAACTCTACATCATCCCATTGCTATTTTTTTTCAGTTTATAAAATATAGCTGAAAGACAAAAAAACCTGCCCTCCTCCCCCTCCCCCTCCCCCACAAAACAAAAACTAATCATCACTAAGCTCTATGATTAATCCATTTAATTAAGTGCCTGTTTGTTGACGAATGCATCAGTGTTCTGAACCCAAGTGGAGTGAGGACAGAGTTCTGAGAACCATCTAAGATTTATTGTCAGAGAATCATGTAATGCTGAAAAAAAAACAAATATTGGTAGGATATGTATTCTCTCGTGTATACGTACACAGGTCAAAGGTCACAAGATCACAGGAAAGGTCGCAAGTTCACAAGTCAGGGGTCAGGCGTTCGCAGGAGAGGTCACAAGTCTGAGGTCACATATTCACAGGTCATGACCACACACGTTCTCAGGTGAAAGTTCACTGATCTGAAGTCACACATTTACAAGTCAGAGGTCACACGTACGTCCCCTTTTGATCCCCCTCTCCTATATCCCCCCAGCTCCCCTTCCCATCCCTCCCTCCCGTTCTCCTCCCTTCACTAACACTGGCACAATTCATTATTCATTCGCGCACAATACTTCCTTAGTCTCTCCCTGCACCGCATTACTTCCTCGGATTATCGAACATCGATTGCCGACCCTACAAGAAGCGAGGCCATCGCTCTACCTCCCTGGCCAAGTATCTGAACTGCAGAATCATGAGAAAATGTGAATAAAGTTGTACCAGATGCAATATATAGCTCCTATCTATAACCACCCAATCCCTTTACATACAAAGATTAATCAGGTTTCACCTGATTAATCACCTGGATATATATATATATATATATATATATATATATATATATATATATATATATATATATATATATATATATATATATATATGTCGTACCTAGTAGCCAGAACGCACTTCTCAGCCTACTATGCATGGCCCGATTTGCCTAATAAGCCAAGTTTTCATGAAATAATATATTTTCTCAAATTTTTTTCTTATGAAATGATAAAGCTACCCATTTCATTATGTATGATGTCAATTTTTTTTATTGGAGTTAAAATTAACGTAGATATATGACCGAACCTAACCAACCCTACCTAACCTAACCTAACCTATCTTTATAAGTTAGGTTAGGTTAGGTAGCCGAAAATGTTAGGTTAGGTTAGGTTAGGTAGGTAAGATAGTCGAAAAAGCATTAGTTCAAGAAAACTTGGCTTATTAGGCAAATCGGGCCTAGCATAGTAGACTGAGAAGTGCGTTCTGGCTACTAGGTACGACATATATATATATATATATATATATATATATATATATATATATATATATATATATATATATATATATATATATACACACACACATACATACATACACATACATTTGTTTCTTTTACTCTGACAGGGTAAGATAACTGATAGTGAAACTAGCGTGCAATTAAGCACTTAACAGCTGATTGATTGACAGTTGAGAGGCGGGCCGAAAGAGCAGAGCTCAACCCCTGCAAGCACAACTAGGTGAATACACACACACACACACACACACACACACACACACACACACACACACACACACACACACACACACACACACACACACACACACACACACACACACACACACACACACACACCCTTCCATAGATGCAATAAAAGTTAAAATTACAAAATAAAATATTTTATTTCATCTCCGTTGACCGGGCCAAGGAAATATACCGTTCAACAATTTCCAACACGTAAAGCGTACGCAAATATCTGTTTAAAATATAATAACTTTACATGAAAATATATTAAGATACTGGCGGTTTCGTTAAAATATTATTCCACTATTTCAATACTCATTTTGTGTATCGTTTAATTGGAGTTTTATTATTATTATTTTTAGCGCGAGAGGTTCAAAAGAGAAGTTGTTCTGTTTTGTTTTGAGAGACAATAGAATATATTGCATCAGAGTACTGTATGTATTGTTATACTTATGACAGCTGTATATGTACGTGCTCATATAGTGTGGACACGCTATATACAACAACGGTGTTGGGGTATATGCTGCACCAGCCTGGAGCCCCCGACCAGTGCTGGAGTATGCTGCACCAGCCTGGAGCCCCCGACCAGTGCTGGAGTATGCTGCACCAGCCTGGAGCCCCCGACCAGTGCTGGAGTATGCTGCACCAGCCTGGAGTTCCCCGACCAGTGCTGGAGTATGCTGCACCAGCCTGGAGTTCCCCGACCAGTGCTGGAGTATGCTGCACCAGCCTGGAGCCCCTGACCAGTGCTGGAGTATGCTGCACCAGTCTGGAGTTCCCCGACCAGTGCTGGAGTATGCTGCACCAGCCTGGAGTTCCCCGACCAGTGCTGGAGTATGCTGCACCAGCCTGGAGTTCCCCGACCAGTGCTGGAGTATGCTGCACCAGCCTGGAGTTCCCCGACCAGTGCTGGAGTATGCTGCGCCAGCCTGGAGCCCCCGACCAGTGCTGGAGTATGCTGCGCCAGCCTGGAGCCCCTGACCAGTGCTGGAGTATGCTGCACCAGCCTGGAGTTCCCCGACCAGTGCTGGAGTATGCTGCACCAGCCTGGAGTTCCCCGACCAGTGCTGGAGTATGCTGCACCAGCCTGGAGTTCCCCGACCAGTGCTGTAGTATGCTGCACCAGGCTGGAGCTCTTCGACCAGTGCTGGAGTATGCTGCACCAGCCTGGAGTTCCCCGACCAGTGCTGGAGTATGCTGCACCAGCCTCGAGTTCCCCGACCAGTGCTGGAGTATGCTGCGCCAGCCTGGAGCCCCTGACCAGTGCTGGAGTATGCTGCACCAGCCTGGAGTTCCCCGACCAGTGCTGGAGTATGCTGCACCAGCCTGGAGTTCCCCGACCAGTGCTGGAGTATGCTGCACCAGCCTGGAGTTCCCCGACCAGTGCTGGAGTATGCTGCACCAGCCTCGAGTTCCCCGACCAGTGCTGGAGTATGCTGCACCAGCCTGGAGCTCTTCGACCAGTGCTGGAGTATGCTGCACCAGCCTGGAGTTCCCCGACCAGTGCTGGAGTATGCTGCACCAGCCTCGAGTTCCCCGACCAGTGCTGGAGTATGCTGCGCCAGCCTGGAGCCCCTGACCAGTGCTGGAGTATGCTGCACCAGCCTGGAGTTCCCCGACCAGTGCTGGAGTATGCTGCACCAGCCTGGAGTTCCACGACCAGTGCTGGAGTATGCTGCACCAGCCTCGAGTTCCCCGACCAGTGCTGGAGTATGCTGCACCAGCCTGGAGCTCTTCGACCAGTGCTGGAGTATGCTGTACCAGCCTGGAGCCCCCGACCAGTGCTGGAGTATGCTGCACCAGCCTGGAGCCCCCGACCAGTGCTGGAGTATGCTGCACCAGCCTGGAGCCCCCGACCAGTGCTGGAGTATGCTGCACCAGCCTGGAGCCCATACCTCAAGACGCAGCAGACGAAGATAGACAAAGTACAAAAGTTCTTAACAAGACAGCACCCAAAAACCAAAACGAGCGTTGAAGAATGACTGAATGCTCACAATTTTAATGAGACTGAAACAAATGAAGCGGACATGATCTAGAACGACAAAGTACAGTGTCGAATAAATAGGTGTTGACAGAATTTTTTGTTTGAGCAGTAGGATGGCGAGAGGACACGACTGGGAACCAGACAGGCAGGTGAGCCCCGTGGCAGTAAGTGGAACCAACTACAGCGGAAGATGTTAGGGTTAACTTGCATGGAGGTGGGGACAAGACAATGCCTTAATACCACTAAAACAAACAGCGCGACATCAAAAATTAACATTCAAGACTGACAGAGAACTTTACACCTCTGCCACGCCTCTAGATTCTCCTTCCAATCAAAGCTACCCGCTACCTAATCAATAACTATTTCCTCCTCTCTCTCTCTCATATCCTTCCCTGCCATGCCTCCTTTCTTCCTCCTTGTCTGGTACCATCCTTCAGCTTCTCCTCCATCAATTTCTCCGTCCGTCAGGGATGGGGGATAGGAATTATGCCTGTCCTTCATCCTCTTACGCCTGAACCCATCCAGGGCCCCATCCTTCAGACTGGGTGATGGGGAAATGAAAATTAGAGCTGTTGAACAACCGACCTGGTTCACAGGCAACCTTCCCCACAAGGTGTTGACTATTGATCAAGAGACGTAATTCATATTGTACAGTCTGATTTCGTGTCCAAAACACCAGTGTGAACTAAGCGAAGACAAGTTTTGCTTCTTAAACTGTTTTAAGCCAGGTAAATGTGTAACGCAGAAGACCAGGAAACATGTCTGTGACCTCAGAGAGGTACAGACACACGTAGAAAAGTGAGGTGAAGACAGTCTGACTTCTCACTAGCAGAAAGAGTTCTGCAAGACTGGTGAGTTGCCTCAGCTTGATGCAAACAAAGCTCCAACTCAGCTGCGTTCCAACCTAGCTCTCATTGCCACCCCAGCTCAGCTCAACCCCCAGGTCAGCCCAACCTCAACGCTGCCAAACCTCCACCCCTCTCTGCTCAGCCCCACCCCAGAGCGCCGGTCCCCCCAATCCTCCGACAAATTGGCACAGTCTCCCGACACTTCCTGCTGCCCGTTAACACAAAGAACAATTTTACTCCTCGGTAACGTCAAGGTGTTTGCCCGCGCGGGTAAAGCTTCCTGCGAGACGAGGAAGACGGAAATGTTTTCAAGCGTGTGATTAAATATGATTGACGAGAAGGTAATATTTATTTAACTAATTGTAGCACCAACTTTACTCTCCACTTTTGGTTACTTGTTCCGGTTCTTCGTGCCTGTTCGAGTGAACATTTCGGTTCTCTGGGACTGTTCAAGTGAACAGATTGGTATTTCGTGACTCCGCGTGAACGTTCCTGTACGCCGTGTCACTCCGTGAGAATATGAAACAATTTCGCGTTCTAGTTTCTCCAAAATTACAAATCTTCCGCCCCCCCTCTATATATATATATATATATATATATATATATATATATATATATATATATATATATATATATATATATATATTTATATCACCAAGAACTCTTCTCCTGTGAAGGATTCGTACCTTAGAAAGCGAGGTGCATCACACACCTTGGCATAACCTGTACACTAACCACTACACCATGGCAGATCGTTAAAAGGATTGAAAGTCGGGAGTTATTTCTACAACATATTAACCCCCAACGATACTAGCTAATGGTAAGAGATCAGATGTTCATTCTCATCAACTCAGTCACATTCACTAGAGAAAACGCGAGCCTCATATATACGACACACTTGCATAAACGCACAAGTTATATGTACTAAATGGAAAATTGACAGTAACATTATTTTTTTATAAATTAAGGAATAATAGTAATTGGCGACTGAAACTGTGTGGTCGCCACCTGAGTTAAGTTTTGCCATAACAGCATGGAAAATCAACTCTAAGAATAATCATTCCGATCAAACAACAACTTCATCCAATCATGTACACTTCTCTAAAGATCTTATTTCTGCACTATGCAAGTGCAATCCGTGGAAAGATAATTGATAGGACCCCAAGGTTGTTTAGTTAGAACACAGCAACACCTGGGAGTGGTAATCCAGGGCCAGGCCACACCCAGACCCAAAGACCCTCAAACCAAGTACTGGTCTTTGCGGTACACCGCTTGTCACTCTCCTCCATCCCAATCTAGCCTCTCACTGTGACACTCTGCCTCCAGTCACCCAGATACTCTCTCTCTCACCCACTTTAGGGCTCTTTCCATTGCTCATTCAGGCTCTCCCTCACTCCACCAATTTCTCTCTCATTCGCTCACCCCTCTCATGCCCTGCAGCACATCCTTCACGCTGCTGCTCAAGTTTTGTAAGACAAAAATCAGATCCAAGAGAATTAAGAAAATGTAGGCAAGGTGTTGCCTGCTTCTTATGCCGAGTGTTTTCTTTTTTGGCGCGTCTGTTTGTACTACTAAGACATCCTGTCTTGGGGAGGAACTGGAGGAAGGAAGGAAGGAAGGAAGGAAGGAAGGAAGGAAGGAAGGAAGGAAGGAAGGAAGGAAGGAAGGAAGGAAGAGAGACCGGGAGGGAGAGAAGGAGGGAAAAACGAGATATAGAAGAAAGAAACCAGCAGAGAGGGGAAAAAAATATGAAGGGAATCACGAAGGAAAAACAAAGAAACACGGGAAGGCAAAGTAGCGAAAGAAGGAGCTTAAGGAAGAAATAAAAAAAAATCCTCCGAAGATGAGATGAAAAGGTGGGATTTTAACCTTTCCTACAAGACAAGAATAAGAGGTTATAACGAGAGGCGGAAAACGAATAAAGGGAACAGGAGGAGCCCAGAGAGCAAACAAGAGGGAACGAATGAGTGAGGAAAAGACGGAGGAAGGAAAAAGAGAGACAATGGAGTATTCATCACGGTAATAATCCAAGTCAGGGTGAAATACATAGAACTGGGCAATGAGCTGGGATATGAGGACAAAAAGCTGGGATATGAGGACAAGAAGCTGGGATATGAGGACAAGAAGCTGGGATATGAGGACAAGAAGCTGGGATATGAGGACAAGAAGCTGGGATATGAGGACAAGAAGCTGGGATATGAGGACAAGAAGCTGGGATATGAGGACAAGAAGCTGGGATATGAGGACAAGGAGTTGGGATATGAGGACAAGGAGCTGGGATATGAGGACAAGAAGCTGGGATATGAGGACAAGAAGCTGGGATATGAGGACTAGAAGCTGGGATATGAGGACAAGAAGCTGGGATATGAGGACAAGAAGCTGGGATATGAGAACAAGAAGCTGGGATATGAGGACAAGAAGCTGGGATATGAGGACAAGGAGTTGGGATATGAGGACAAAGAGTTGGGATATGAGGACAAGAAGCTGGGATATGAGGACAAGAAGCTGGGATATGAGGACAAGAAGCTGGGATATGAGGACAAGAAGTTGGGATATGAGGACAAGAGGCTGGGATATGAGGGCAAGAAGCTGGGATATGAGGACAAGGAGTTGGGATATGAGGACAAGGAGTTGGGATATGAGGACAAGAAGCTGGGATATGAGGACAACGAGTTGGGATATGAGGACAAGAAGCTGGGATATGAGGACAAGAAGCTGGGATATGAGGAAAAGAAGCTGGGATATGAGGACAAGAAGCTGGGATATGAGGACAAGGAGCTGGGATATGGGGACAAGAAGCTGGGATATGAGGACAAGGAGTTGGGATATGAGGACAAGAAGCTGGGATGTGAGGACAAGAAGCTGGGATATGAGGAAAAGAAGCTGGGATATGAGGACAAGAAGCTGGGATCTCGGAACGTGACAGCCTCCACGTAATACCACTCCACAGAAGTGATCGTGCATCAATAAAACTCAATAGCTTAACTTCGTTGGTTAGGCAGGATTTGCAACTGTGTGTGTGTGTGCGTGTGCGTGTGTGTGTGTGTGTGTGTGTGTGTGTGTGTGTGTGTGTGTGTGTGTGTGTGTGTGTGTGTGTGTGTGCGAGCGCGCTTTTTAATATAATTGCTGTAATACACAAAGGACCACATTTTATTTATCAATTTGCAAGAGAGGTTTCATTCGTGACCCGTTTTCTAAACGCCTCACATGGCGCAACGAAACTTGACCCATATTCAATATATTATGATCTAGACCCAAAATATCATAATGCGTATCTCCAAAGCTGTATTCTCCCCCGAGTGTATATAATCTCGCCTTACACGCCTCGACCTACTTTCCTATATTCGAACTTCAAGGAAAGAATATGTAGCGTAGTCAATCAACGCCTTATTGCGTTGATATTGGGTAAGTTGATATATCTTGGAGCGAGATGGTGAGGCAGTAGGTTAATAAAGGCTTTATTACGGCGGAATTACGGCCTTAACTCGAGGAGGAGGAGATCTTTAGGTAAACTGTAGCTCGTCGCAAACTAGATTTTCCCTCAGGTAGAAGATGGTGTGAGACGGAGAACGCGTGTTCGAGGGGCGTTGAGCGGGTACAAGTTCAAGTACGTTTATTGAGACAATAAAATACATCTCAGAGGGATAGAGTAACTTAGGCTATTTCTGTCCTCCTCTACTGCAAGGCCCTCAAGGGGCGCACAAATCCAGTGAGTACAAATCCAAAAATCACAATACAAGAATCCCATTTAACATTGTAGGTTAATATAGTAAACACAGCATATAAGTGTTACACTCTTGGAGCAAAATACTTGTAGCTCCTAAGTATACTGTCTGTCATACCATTATCACACATCCAAACAATTTGATGTGGTACACTACTTATTTCTATAGTTATCAATAAGTTGACACTCTAATACATAATATTCTAAGGTGTGGGCGTGTGGCATACTACATAATTTACACTCCTTATCTTTTTCATTGGTATCAACACCGTATTGCCAGATATATTTGTATCCTAATCTTAATCTTATGTAAATTGAAACCTTCCAAGTAGACTTTCCTCTTCCATAAGTATAGGACGAGTTTGTATTTATTATTGCATAATTCTTAAGTGTGTTATTACTGTCCACCATTGTCATTTTCTTAAC